AATCTTTTTAGACTGTTGCCTTCTGGCAGAAGATACAGAACAATTAAAACTAGGACCACACATATTCTGAGTAGTATTTATCCCAGAGTTATTATTGCAATGAACTAAAGGGCCACCATCAGTGGGCTGTTGGACAGCATTACTTGGTCTGTTGTGTGGATGCTTGGGTGGTTTAGGGGTGGGGAATTTTTGGTGGGTGGGGGGGGTGTTTGGAGATTGTTATGTGTGTTGGGTCTGGTCTCTGGGTGTTATATGAATTTCATTGTATGTGCATACTGTGTATATTCGTACAATGACAATAAAGTAAAGTAAAGTGTACTAAAAATCTAGGGGATTTTATACATAGTTGGTTCCTACCCCTTTTCTCATTCTCCCATTGCCACATGGACACATTAAATTGCAATTTTTGATTTAGTTTTTTTAAACAGGCTTGGGAAATGAAACACCTGGGAACCTTTCTCATTAGGCGCTCCAATTTTCATTAACAAAGAGAAGAATTCAATCCAAATTTTGTTTCTGTAGAAACAAAAGATAAATAGTTTACACTGTATCTTTAGCACTCACTGTTAGGCCTGCAGCCATAATTGCTTGTGGATCTCAGGCCTGCCACACTTTCTATTATTCTACTATGCGGTTTCTATTGTGGGAAAATGGGAAGTGGGATTGTATGGAGTTAGATGATATGTAGTCATAACAAAATTCTTTATAGAAAGCCAAGGTCATCCTTTGTATTTGCACCTCTGCACCTGACCGGAACTGGATGGCAGTGGGAGATTGAACCATATGATGGATTTGTGGGTGTGGAGGCAAGATCTTGAACTTTCAACTTGGTGGGAAAACCTGGAAGCCTCCGATTCAGGTTTTCCCAGATGTGCCAACATCTTAATAAATTGGAACTTTGAGCAATACTTTGCCTTGGACTCTGATTTAATTTTGGATACTATTTGGAACCCTGACACCCACATCCTATGGACCCACTTACCTGAATTTTTTATTTCTTTCTCACTAAACTGGTACAGAAGGTCATATTTGGCTCCCAATATACCAGATGTGTAATAATGTGTCCCAAAGTTATCAAAAATCTGGCTGTATAGAGCATAGTTGTACTCCAGAGGCAATTTTTTCAGAGAGTTTAAGAACACGTTAGAGAGTTGCAGATCTTGCTTCTTCGCCATGAAATTTGAAACTGCGAACACTTTATGGATCCTAATATATTTGGAAGACTTAGGAAACATAACAAAACAGAGATTTTATTGTGCTATTGCCTCTTGTATTCTCTTTTTCTCTGCAACCTTTTTAGATTTTTAAGCCTTGTGGGTAATTCAGAGCAATTTGTATGAGATAGGTGGCCATATGTGTTATATAAATAAATTACATAAATAAATAGGGCAGCCCTTGAAGAGCATTTGGAGACTTCAGCTTGTCCAGAATGCAGCCGCGCGAGCGATTGTGGGTGCACCCCGGTACATCCACATTACACCTATCCTCCGCGAGCTGCACTGGCTGCCTATTAGACTCCGGACGCGTTTCAAGGTGCTAGAGCCCTACATGGTATCGGACCTGGGTACTTGAGAGACCGCCTCCTGCCAATTACCTCCCTTCGACCAATTAGATCCCACAGATTAGGCCTCCTCCGGATACCATCAGCCAGCCAATGTCAACTGGCAACTACCCAGGGGAGGGCCTTTTTTGTGGCTGCTCCGACTCTTTGGAACGATCTCCCCATGGAGATTCGGACCCTCACCACCCTTCAGGCTTTCCACAAAGCCGTTAAGACCTGGCTGTTCCGGCAGGCCTGGGGCTGATGAGTTTCCAGCCCCACTCAAATTGCTGATTGTTGTGTGGTTTTAACTTGTCTTTGTATCTTGTTTTGTTTCGTTTGTTTTTGTATTCC